AACGTTAAACTACTCACCCAGAGAGAAACACCCAACTCTACCTCCCCCCCGCAGGTTGGGTGGTTATCAGGTGTCGCCTCTCTCTGACTTCCCCCCGGTGTTCCAGTGCGCCAGCTGGAAAGGGGAGAGCGTGGCGGGCCCGCCCAAGGTGCCAGTCTTGGGCGGTGTCCAAGTCCCGCCCAACCGGATGACTTCTGCAAATGAATTGCGCGAGGGTCCATCAGCAATATTGCTTTTGGACTCCACGTGATCAATATATATATGCAACTTCAGTTTCGCGGCTGTTAGCCAGAAGGCTCCGACAAGATTCGAACTGTCGGGTTGGGGGGAATAGCCTTTCACTAGGTTGGTGGCAGCACTATCGTTGTCAACATACAAAAGTACAGAGCGCTCTTGAAGTTGCTGGCTCCAGAGCTCGAGTGCCCACAGTGGTGCGACTAGTTCTAGCTGACCCATGTAGGATTTACGTGGGCGCCAAGATTGTACCATTGAGTGGGGAACCTCCTCGGTGGAGTACATAAGTTGGTGTGAGTCTGGGATGAAAAGGACTGCCCCAACCAGTCGTTGTGGCTGGCGACCCGGAACGTCGGAGGCGTCGGTGTACAAAACGATCGGTGGAGTATCCTTCAACGCGAGTTCGCGTGAGGGACAGTATTCAAGGAAAGCCAGCATCATGTTGAGTGACCATCTGATATCAGGGGTCAGGCCTTGGAACTTGTGTTGGGAGTACTGGCGTTTACGCAAAGGACCTGTGCAACAGCGGCCTACCTTTCCAAACAAGGTGGAGCAGAGGAAGCCAAACTTCCCAACGAGACTGGCTGCCAAAGCAGCTGAAAGTTGACCTGACGTCAGTACCTGATTGATGGTCTCACAAAGATTGGTGATGCGAGAAGGCTTAGCTTCCAGGTGAATCCTGCGTTCCACCGCAAGGCACTGGGTGGAGAACATGATGCCAAGGATGGCGCAAGTGCGCGACGGAGGTTGCGACTTGTCTGGATCGAGCTGAAAGCCCAGTTCCGTAAAGAGAGCTTTTAAACAAAAGAGCGATGATTCGATGGTAGGAGAGGGCTCCAGGCAAAAGAAATCGTCAAAGAAGTGGTCGGAGAAGGTGTGAAACAAGCGAACTGAGCAGCGGGATATCCACTCCGCCACTCGGCAAAAATTGGGTACAGAGTGGCCGGCGCCGAAAGGCTGTCCGTACATTTCGTGGAGTGAGACTTCGTCAACGTCCGGGTTGTACACTCCGGTGATGGCAAACCTGACGTCAGCAGGGTGGAGTGCTATCTGTCGGTAAGCGGACTTCATATCTTCTGTGGCCAGCTGGATCGACGTCGACTGGGCGGCCAGTGCCTTGAGCATCACACCAATGTAATCAACCATCGTCATGGGAACTTTTTGTAGCCTATGGGCCACCTGGTTTACGCCTGATGCCGTGTGGTCATCGATTCGGCGGAACTTGGCGCCTTGAGCCAGGCCGAAACTTGGTGTGACCTGCACCTCCACGCCATACTTGGCCTGGGCTTGGTCCAGTGTAATAGCTGGACCCATGGTACCGGCTTCAATCTCCCGTTGGGTCTTCTCCCAGATGGCCTTCGCCATCTCTGGGGAACCCTTCTGGGCCATGTGCCGGACTCTTTCGATCATAGCCAGTGATCTCTTGACATCCTTTCAAGAATGTGTCATGTGACATCACTGGCCTGACTTCGAAGGGCTCGAAGAAAGGGGAGGTTTGCGCCTTCCCTGTGATACGCATCCCCGTGAGGCACAGCTGGGGAACTTCCGTGTCCTCTATGTGCAACAGGGTCTGCAGCTTCTCCATCAAACAGGTGTTGGGCTTGGTGCTGAGTCTTTGCGCCGTCCAGGCTGCCTTTGCATTTGCTCGCCTCTGCTCAGCAGCCAGCTCAACTTTGAGTTTTCTGACCTTGGCGAGCTGTTCGAGGCGGTAACGAACCAGAGTCGACGGATTCCCCGCCAGGGCTTTTAATGACTCCTGGTGATCCGTCTTAAGAGTTGCCATTGATGAGAATGGATGCTGCAACTTGCAAGCTTGCTGAAGATGTGCGGCAGCATCGTTCAGCCCATTGGGTATGAGCTGTTGCCTCTTCCCAAAACTTGGCTGTTTAGCGGCCTCCACTGCTTGTGCTCGTGGCGGCGCTGACTCGGCTGTAGGAGTCTCACCAAGTGCGGTCTCTGGAACTCTAGGCACTGGTGTCACTGACGCCGAGGCACTGGACGATGTTTGTGGTTCCATATGCTCATCAAGGAGTTCTGATTTCTCGGGCCCTGGGGGTGTGACGGTGCCTGGAGGGATCGGGGACGGGACTCCCCAGGCTTTCGCCAAAGCACATGAGAGAGGTGCGTTTGGCCCGGAGAAGACTTCAACGAATGACTGGATGGGGTTTTGTGTGGCTTGAACTATGGCTTGTGCGTATGTCTCACAGAATCCCTCTGGGTACTCCCTCTCTAGGCCGGTTGCGAAGGAGGTCACTCTTCCCTTCTCGACCCTCGGCTTCCAGGAAAGGTGGGGCTTTCCGGTGCGTGTACAAATCCTACTGCTGTTACAAATCAAATTTAAATTACTGTTCAATAGGGGAATGTTGTGGATGAGGATCTGGGCTTTCCTCCTCGCACTCCCCTTGAACATGCACGAATGGTATTCCGTGGCCCACACCCCTTCTTCCGCCTCCAAGTCTTTCCAGGATTCCAAGTCTCTGGCGATGGAGTTCTTCGGATGCTCCAGGGTGAAGTACTTCCCCGTGCGCTTGGCCTTCAGGCAGTTTAAAGCAGCCATGTTAGCCATGCGTGTATCCAAGTTCAACTTGCGTTGTTTCGAAGCGGGGAGACTGGCTACCACCGTTGGAATACCTTCGGGAAAATCGGAACTCCTAAGAGGTACCGGGGGGTTCTTTACTCCTGGGATTGGTTTCTCACGAGCCCGGGAAAAGGTACAGCAGTTCGGCCCCCAATGCTGTAGGTCCGAGACCTGAAGGTCTCTCTGCAACTGGTCACCGTGTTTAAAAATATCCCGGCCCCTCAACAAGTCCCAGGGTTCAGCGACCTTTTTCTCCTCTCTTTGAAGTTCCGAGGATTTCAAAAACTCCTGACCTCTCGAAGCGCAGGTCGCTTGCGCTCCTGAGAGGAGCTGTCCCTATTCTTGGCGTCTTTGCCTCCTTTGTCCCTCTTGTGGTCATCTTCCCACTTCCGCTTCTGCTCACGGGATTGCTGCTTCTGATCCTTCCGGAATCCCGGGGGGATCTGGCAGCGTGGCTCGTGGCGTTTACGGCAGACGATGCACATCCGGGGCTTTTGAGGATCGCCTGGCTTCTCCTTGCGGGGGCGCTCCGGGGTACGCGACCTCTTCACTCCCTTCTTATCATCTCCCCCGCCCTTGTGGTTAGACGGCCGCTCCTTCCCCAGGTCAGGGTGGCCTTCTGGTTGCTGGCTGAGGAGTTTCCAGAGCGGCTCGGTCGCGAATTCCGGGTATAGTGGCTGAGTCCAGCTTCCACCGAACCCTTGCCCTTTGCCACCCACTTCAGGATCTCGCCAAAAATCTCTCGGTCTGCACGTCGGGCTTCATTCATGGTAGGGTTGCGCATGCCCTCTGCGGTCACTCCTCGCAGGCTGGCCACAATCCGCTCACCATAGGCCTTCACTACGTCGTACTTGCAGACATCGAGGATGTGAAAAGCGCGCGGTCTCAGCTCAAAGAGGTCCTGCAGGGCGACGGGGTTGTCCACAACGATCGTCTCCGGGAACTCCAGGTCCGTGTCGGTCATCTTCAGGCTCTTCCGGTCCACAACCAGTTCCTTCTTGTCTTTGGGCAGCTTTCCTGCCCTCCTCAACCTTGCTTCGACCTCCATGGACACATACGACTCCCAAGCTAGGTGCTGGAAGGTTCCGTTCGGCATGAAGGTCGCCTGCACCTTGGTGAGCGTGTGTAACGAAGGCCTCTCTCGATCGGACGTAGCTTCTGGCATGCCGGTTTCGACTGCTTTGTCTTCCAGCTCCTGGGCATGGGCTAGGGTGATCTTCGTCTTTCCCTCGCCTTCTTCTCCTGCCAATCTCTCCAGGTGACGCTTGGCCACCTGGGTTGACAGTCCCCAGAGCTTCCTCAGGCAGCCCGTGTCCGGCTCTGACTTGTAGTCATCCCATGAGAGAATCGTCGGCTTCTCGTAGACCATGATCTCGCCGCTGTCATCGCGATACGCCGCCCTCTTCCGCAGCATCTTCTTGAGGTAATCCTCGAGATCGGCGCTGGAAGGAAAACGGTATGCCATGGCCTCGAACGTACTTATCTTGTCCGCGGCCATGACCAAGAAGTCACTCTCATGGACCTCGAAGCTGACGGCAGCTCGTCCGAAGGCCAGAGCCGACTTCGCATCCGCCATGTCGGCAGGACTCCCGGGTTCGGGGCGTGGGTGTTTGATCCACTCATTGGGGCATCGGCACATGCGTCTACAGTAGAGGTGCACCCATCACGTCCATACGAAAGGACATGGATCCCCAATGGACGCTCCAGCACTGCATGAACTCTTGCGAACTGGGTTGCATGGCTACATGGTTTAAACAGTCGCCCTGGCACCCGAATTTTCATCACTTCATAGTGGTCGGCCTACAGGTCTTCATCTAGCACCTCTTCACTGTGCAAGGTGCACCTGTGCCTACTCGCTGGATCAAAGCCCGGCTCACTGGGGTTCAGATGTCCTTCTACTTGATCGCTCCTGCATCGCCGTCCGCAGCGCAGCACCACCTTACCCTCCTTCTTCAACACAAAATCACACAGCAGTGGGCACGTGGACGTCTCTGCATTCTTTCCAAAGCACTTGCTGCAGAGCTTATAGTCTGTACCCCAGCTGTGGTCCACTCCGAGTTCTGTGAACCTCGAACCCTGGCTTCCGCACCTTGGCATGTGTTCATCCCGGGCTGCAGGCTTATGGATCTTCCCCGCTCCCGAGGAAAGTTGCACAAAGGTGTGGTGCATCTCTAGGTCCGTAATCGCAGGGTCTCCCTCGCTGTCATCAGAGTCAGGACCCCACTCGACGGCATTGGGCGATGTCTCCACGTGTTCAATCGGGTGATCTTTGTAGTACCTGGCGGCGGCATCTTTCTCCTTCCAAGGGTGACTTCCAGCTCCTCCAGGTCTTCTGCGCCAGTCCCACGCAGCGCAGGCGGGAGTTCGGTAACAGGGACCGCACAGTCTCCGCTGATCCTGCGCTCTCCCTGTCGATCCTCCGCGCAAACGATGGCGCGTCTCATGGCTTCCGCTCCCGAACCCTCCCTGCTGGTTTCTGGCATCCTCTGCTCCTCCTCGAGGGTCTCTACTGTGGCCCAATCGGGCTGTCGCATGGTATCAAGCTCCTGGCCCTCCAGGGTTTGAATCACTGCTCCTCGGCGAATCTGATCAAGTACCTCAATCTGTGCCTTCAGAACCAAAATCTGAGATTCACGGAGGTACAGGTCTGGCATGAGCTCTGCCGGGTCTTTCCAGGCTCCCTGGAACCTCACCGTCCTGGTGGTGACCTTGAAGTGGGTCATATACGTGGGCATGGTCGTCTTGCAGCTGTGCCACCTCAGGTGCAGAGCATGCTCTCTGGGCATGATATTCTGGTTTCCTCCATCGATGTCGGCGAGAAGCGCGTGCTTCACGGTCAGGGTGTCTTCGGAGATCAGGGGTGGGTAAAGCTCCCACCCTTCTGCTTTCCCCGCTGCCCTCCCGACGAAGGAGTGAGTGCGCCAATCATGGCCGTGCATCACCAGGAGGAGTTCCACCCATCGGACCAGCCACTTGTCGTTATCCGGATGAACTCCCAGTAGGCTCGCCGCCCATGTCCTGGGGCCTGACTTTGTGTATGCTGCTTTAGCACGGAGTCCCAGGGCTCCTGAACTTCCAACCATTCTGCACCACTCAACGTCCCTCATTGCCGTGCCTGCCAGGTCGGAGTGACGGATGCTAGATTGCGTGCACAGGCGGAGCTTGCCGCAAGCAATGCGAGTCTGCAGGTCCCGGGATTCATCGAGCACCACCGTCTCCAGCCAGTACAGGAAACGGATCTCGAAGAAGGGTGCTGGCCTTCGCTCCGGGGACTTCCCGACGTAATCGGTACAAAGCCTGCGGACCCGAGGGTGAGCACTTCCAGGTGAGTGATACCCGAAGAGGCCGCCGAAGTACTCCACGGCGTAGAGGAAGCTTCGAGGGGTATAGAATCCCACTTCATCTTCGATCAGGCTGATGATGAATGCCTGGATCGCTTCAAGCCCCATGATCTTTGGCCCAGTAGCTGAGGGGGCCCCATACTTGATCTCGTAGGCTTGGAGGTAGCGTGACAGGAGGCGAGCGTACCTGAGGGCTGTGCCTGCTGACTTCGGGTCCGTATACCTGTGGAAGAGTGCGGAGTCGATGATGCCATCCCTTGAGCTAACCGTGTCCACCAAGTCCATCTCCACCCCATGAATCACAAGTTCTTCAAAGAGATGGGTTGCGAGCTTCCTGAACTCCTCGAGCTTGGTTTCTTCGAGGGGGCGGCTCCGGCGAGGAAGGCCCAGAGGGACGTAGGGGACGACTCGGGAAGGGGCGGCTTCCGATCCGCTCGGCTTTTCGGCTTTCTTTGAGAACCCTCCAAAGATGCCTACTTCATCCAGGCCTCTGTCGATTTTACCTGGATCTTCCTCTGGCATGACTGCCGATGGCTTCGGCGGCTCCTCATGCTCCTCCTCTTTGACTTGCAACTGCGGAATTTGAGGCACTGGGGACACTGCCTTCTTTGTGAAGCCTAAAGGCGAAAGCGCTGCTCCCGTCGCCCAGGTGGGGGTATCCCGGGAGGAGCGGTCAGTCGAGAGGTGAGGTGTCGAGGCTGCTGAAGAAGAGCCTTCCGAAGCGGCGGGTACCTTGGTGGGTTTCTCTGCCCTCTTCTCGGCGATCCAGCTGGGAGGTGCCGCCTCTGAACTCAGTGGTGGTCTCTCCTCCGACAAGGACTTTGCTACTGGATCGTCTGCTTCTTCTGCTTCTCCCTGGATCTCCAGGGGTTGGTCACCTTCAGAACCGCTCCGGATGGCTTCCAGGATCTCGTTCGAAGGGACTCCATTTTCAATCATACGTGCGATCTCCTCCCTCGCGGACCATGCCCCATGCCGCAAACAGACCACTGGTCCTTCCTAGCTTGGCACGGTCCCTTCGAGGGGATGTGTCGACCCGCTTTGCGCTAGGTCCCCTCCCCTGGTCGTCGCTACGACCACGACCTTCAGGAGGGTCGAACACAGTAAGAGGTTTACCTCCAGCAGGGGCTCGTTCCTGAGCCCACGCTGGAACAGGCATTCCCCCCGCTGAAAAAGAAACAGCGGAGGCCTGTTCAGCTGCGGGGCTTGACCCAAAATGGCCACGTTGTTCGCCCCGCTGATCAGACATTTACTATAGTACCAGAGGCACAATCTGTATATACTGAACACATTCCTTCCAATCAGTGCGACATTTCTGCAGTAAAGAAGGCTCCCTTAACACCTGCTGTTGTTGGCTCCACGCTTTCACGCACCACCAAACTGCGGCATCTTTTCATCCCAACTCCTCTGAAACTTTGTCTCCAAAGATTCGTACCAAAGTACTCTCCAAAGCCAAAAGCACTTTCGGATGCCCCATGTTGGTCACTCTTCGGATGTCGGAGGGAGTCCCAGGAGCCCCTCGTCCCTCCCATCGGATCTTCTTCTGCGCCTGGAACTTCTCGATGGCCTGCATTTCGTGGCGCGCCAGCCGTTGCTCCAAGATCTGGGTGCGGAACATGGCCTCGTCTTGGTACCTCGATGCGATCCCGCGATGGCCGTGAACGCCGTGAGCCCTTGGGGAAAAAACACCTTCGAAGATTAAGAACACCAATGATCCACAGGTCCCAGAACGGTCTAAAAGGAACATCTAAAAAAGCAGGAAACTCATGGTTTTCACTTTCGGATGGGCTCCCATTTTCCCTGAAAACAATTCTGGGAACGACCAAACTTATTCGGGTCAATAGGCCGGAACGAACAGATTCCATCTCTGTCGGAAAGGAGCGGCTTAGCACAACGGACGGGTGAAGCGGACGGACGGAGCGGCTATACGCTTAGCACAACGATTGACCGCACGAGGATTGGTCATGTGTTGTATATAAGTTGGGAGCTTCCACCTTTGCTCTCCGGAAGCAAGAAGTTCTGAGAAAGAGCTAAGGTGGAAAGCAAGGAACTTCAGTTAAACCTCCTTCGGACCTCCTTTCGTGACCTGTCGCTCTAAAGGAACATCTCCAACTGCATCCGTTTGAGAGCGTCTACTGCAACTGTTGAACTCATCGCAGGAGCTGAGGCATGACACCTGGTGCCACGCAAAAATCCACAATTTGACAACCTGGTGCCCACCCGCCACCCACGACTTCAAGGCCACCATTGTTGCGACTCCAAGGCGCGCAGCAAAGGCCTGCTCGTCCTTCTCTACGGAGTCCCCGCGCCGCTGCATCTGAGCCCGTCGCTTCCGCAATAGCTCCTGCTCTTCCTGGCGCCGGACGAGGTCGGAGCGGGGTGGTGGTCTCGTTTGGTCTAGGCTGCACCGAGTGAAGAAGTAAGGATAGTAAGAGTCACAGTAAATAACAATCATTAACAGTATACATTCATATAGTTATAACATTATATTTGCCAAGTAAATAGGAAAACATCAGTGCCAAGATCTGGCACTTCTCATGATTGAATCAATGCCAACGTGCAATGGCCATCTGTTTTTGAGAAGCCATCTTCAATGAGGCACCTGGCAATACACCTACCTCACTCTGAGCAAGGGAATGTGCTTTGTGTTGGGGGTCGCTATAGATTGGAGCAATGGCAACCTATTTGCATCTATTTGACTATGTGCATTCAATTTGATGCTTATCCTCGGCTTCTACTTTCTTGTCGCTTGCTGACATAATCTGACAGAATCCTTTCAAGTGTGGTAGGGGCTAGGGTGGCTGGGCAGGGTCATGCGTCATGGTAGCTGCGAACGGATCTGCACCCAAAGGTGACCAGAAGAGGCTTCGTGCCTGAAGATGTTTACGCACAGTATGAAGTGATTGAACGATCTTATAGCAATTGAATTCATAACACCCGAAAACAGCATTTGCACAAGCCCCTTCATTGTGTAAAGTTATGTCTTCAATCTAATCACCCTTTTATGAGACACCATGACCCAGCATCATGGTTTGCATCACTGTCTGCGGGTAGCAACTGGGAGTCAGCCCCGGAACTAGTCCAAAGTGTGCTTCGCTGGTGGAACTGAAAGGAACCCAACTCTCCTCCAAGCGCCGCTGAATGATCTCAGCCCTATCGGTGAGACGCTTGCCTAAGTGGACCACGCAAGACCAAAAGGCCGAAGTGTCGCAACTTATGCAACTAATTAAGCTTGATGCTAGTTGCTTTGGCGACATGTTTTTGGAAAACTGGAAAACGGTCCGCTACGCCAAGCCCAGTTTGGGTTGGAAAGGGTGGAGCAAACGAAACTGCTGATGCTTCAGGAAGACCTGTACTGCCCGCAGTGAGGAGTTGGCCATCATCGTTGGAGCACCCTTATAGGTCCTTTGCATCCTTTACCAATTTGTGGCTCCTACCAGGCCCAGCCGTCAATCCACCGAATCCAAACGACGTAACGACTCCTACCAGGCCCCTTCGGTTCGCCGCTCCGAAAAAGGCTTTCATGATCCCATCGGCGTGGCCCACCCAGCCACCTGTGATCCACTGTGGCGGATGTGTCTCCCAAAGAGGAGGAGGGGGCACCACTGGGCCCTGCATGGGGCACCCCGGCACCCATGAAATGCGTTTCCTCCCAACACGGTGTCCATGGGGCGGAAGTCGGTCGTGCACTTCTTGGCCACGAGCTCCGCTTGCAGGGAGTCCAATTGGACCAAGCCAGTGTCCTTGCGGCGTCGGGACATCATCGCGTGAAGGCTCGGAGAAAAAGAGAAACTAATTACAGCAGGTCCAAGACGGATCCTGGATCAACATGTACAAGCGGGAAGAGACCCACATTGGAACTTGAAAATGGAACTTTGGAAGACTCTTTTCCTCTACAACCCAGTGGTTTTCAGGTTCCATGCTAATTTTCCAGGTTGTATACTACACTGTTGACCGTAGGACGTGAAGGTTCTCTTCAAGGAAACTTAGCCATGAGCAAACCTGTGAGTAATTAAACCGTCTCTGATACCACCAAACAAAGAGCCAATCGTGTTGAGATTGGAGGCTCAACCACACTAAGCCAAGGTGGACATCCCGCAAGTTCCAACATGCTTCGACTACCACATCAAACGCCTTCAGTCGTCAGACTTGACGGAATTGGCCATCTGCTATCCTAACCATTGGACCTGTGTGGTCTCAACACCTGATCGACTGCAGATCCTTGTTGAAAAAGTCCACCAAGTAGGGTGCCAAAATGTCGACCTTGCGCAAACGGGACCAAATTGGGAGTCATGCGCGGACATATCACTTCTTCCGCAAGGCAAGCACACTTGATGACGGCCTTGGAGGTTTGCTCTTCTTGCTTCTCCTCCTCCTGGCCTTCTCGCGAGCCTGCGCCAACGAGACTGAGTTGGCCCTTCACGGCACTCGATCTCACCAGTCCTAGGCCCATCAGAAAGGCCTTGCCGCAGGTCTTTCATGAAAAACAACAGGTCATGGTTTGTGGATGACCTCCGCTGTTTTCCAGGCCTCGTTGAACACATCTGAACACCAAGGCCTTCCCCGCCTTCAACTCGTGCTGATTCCCGTGCAAGGTCATACACCGAGGGTTCGAGCACATCATCCCGGCTGCCTGCGCGCGCGGTGGTGCGATGTTGTACATGTTTTCGTATATTAGATGCTTGGCCACATGCAGTCTTCCAACCAACGGATTGGAAAGCCATCTTCCTTTATGTTCCAAGAAAAAATCTCTTGAACTACCTCCGGCAGATCATTCTACGTCGATCTAGACCGCTAGACATCCTAGATCGCCTCAGAACCCTGAAATTCATGGTGTTCCTTTAGCTTTCCTTTGCTCCGTTCGCCTGGAATCATGGTGAGGTCTCGCTTCTTGCCCGCGGCCACTGAACGCATGCCACGGATGCTGATTTCATCTTTCTTGCGCGTTGTAAGCTCCTGTCGCCCGGCTCGAACCGGGGCGGGTGCTCTTTGCCTCAGGCTCCAGGTACCCCATGGTGAAGAGGATCGAACCGTGGATGGCGGAATTCTGAAAACATCCGTGAATTCCGACACCTAATGATCAAGGTGGTGCGTGGATGGCGGAATTCTGACACCTAATGATCGCACCTTGGTCGTGGCTGGGTAGCCAAACAGCAGCTAGACTCTACTGAACCGTGCTT